GGCTCCGAGACTTGGTACCAGAACACCCGCAAAAGAGGGGGTCGTCACGCCTGGCCGGGACCGGGGTGGACCCTAGCGATCACTCCTCCCATAACTTAGAGGTTACGGGCCTGGGCTGACAAGACCTGCTCGCCGGGACCGCGCGCTCACCTGCGGCCCAGCCCACACTCCCCAGCGCGGCCCCCGCTCTCCGCCGGCTCGCCGGGAGCACGGAAGTCGCCGCTCCCAGCGGCCCGCGGGACCTTGCCCTGTGACCCTGCCCACTGGCCGTTGGCCCTCTCCGAGCGCAGGGATTGGCTGAACTTTAGCCAAAGAACGGAAGGAAGCTAGGCGTCCGCAACCGGACCTCGCTGCGCTGAGATGGACTTCGCGCCCCCTGGTGGCTTGGAGGCTTCTCAGCGATGTTGCCACATGCTTTCTGCGTGGAAAAAGTGAAAGATAATCCAGTTATTTTTTTCAACTGATGTGTACTAGGCATCTTCTAAGACCTAGGTCTGGGCACACAGAAACAAAAGACATGATCCCTGACCTCAAGAAGCTGTTTTTTTTTTTAAACGAAGTCTTGCTCTGTGGTCCAGGCTGGAGTGCAGTGGCGCGATCTCGGCTCACTGCAGCCTCTGCCTCCCGGGTTCAAGAGATTCTTCTGCCTCAGCCTCCCGAGTAGCTGGGACTACGGGGGCACGCCACCACGCCCAGCTAATTTTTGTATTTTTAGTTGAGATGGTTTTTCACCATGTTGGTCAGGATAGTCTCGATCTCTTGATCCTGTGATCCACCCGCCTCGGCCTCCCAAAATGCTGGGATTACAGGTGTGAGCCACCGCGCCAGCTAGGAAGCTCTTTTTAGAAGAGTATAATTTGGTCCTTTAAGGCCTCTTGGGATCTGGACTAGCTTTCTAGTGACCTTGGGAATATTATTAACCTGTCTGAGGCTTCCCCTTCTGTGTAGAGGTAATAAGATCCATTTCGCAGGGATGATGTGAGGGTTAGATAACATAATATTTGTAAAGTACTGTGCCAGGCACACAGCCAGCAGGAAAATAAATGTGGCTATTGTTAGCCTAAAAATAATTGAAATATAGTAAAACCTAAGTCTTACATGACCTCTCAAGTACAGGTATTCACTTCCTCCTGTGTGTCCCCTCTGTACCCTACATAAACATCAATTTAATCATATACAGAAAAGTCCCAAAGCTCAAGCTTCTTGATGCCCCTACAGGAGGGCCCTTCCCACCCTCATCCCACTAATCTCAGCCTGCGTATTTATTTTACTAGCACATACTAAACCCAGCAGGCCACACTGTTTCATACCTCAGTGCCTTCCTGATGCTTTTTCATCTACCTAAAGTGTCCTTTCCACCTTTTTTTTTTTTTTTTTTTTTTCAAACAGGATCTTGCTCTGTCGCCCAGGCTGGAGTGCAGTGGCACAATCATAGCTTACTGCAGCCTCGACCTCCTGGGCTCAAGTGACTCCCACTTCAGCCTTCCCAGTAACTGTGACCAGAGATGCACATCACCAGGCCCGGCTAATTTTTGTGCTTTTTGTAGAGACCGCGTTTTACCATGTTGCCAGGCTGGTCTCAAACTCAATCAGTCTGCCCGCCTCAGCCTCCCAAAGTGCTGGGATTACAGGCGTGAGCCATCGTGCCTGGCCATGAAGTGCCCTTCCCACCTTTCTTTACTATGCCAAACTGTGCTCTGGCACAATTTTCAAGCTTAAGGGTGACCTCCATAGGAAGCCTCATACGTAGACTGCTTATCACGTTAGATACCCTTCCTCTATTATCTCAAAAAGCTCAAAGCTAAGCTCTGGAAGCGAAGACGGAGAAAAGGGAACAGTATTGTACAAGCCAAGGTTCACTGAAAATCAACTGACAAAAGGCAGATTAATAGGAGAAAAGACATACAAAATTTTATTTTAACGTGCATAGCACGGGGGGTGGGGTGGCCGGGAAGGGAAGGGGTCACAGGAGAATGGTTACCCAATAACCCAATGGGGTACAGAAGCTTATACACCCTTTTTCACAGGGGAAGGGGAGAGACGGAGGATATAGACAATTCTTTTGAGGGCCCTAAGTGATTCTTAGAGCGGAAAAAATGGACAGAAATTCACTTGTAAATGATTCTCTTTAGAATTTGAATGAGCCCAAGAAGCAGGCATCATCTTGTAAAAAATCCATCCAGGTGTGGTTGCCTTCCTCAGTCTTCTTTTCAGAGACAGATGAGATTTCGGAGAGGGGAGGAAGGCAATTTTGTTTTTTTTTGGAAAGAGGTTTTCTTGATCAGATTAGGAAATTCCAGAGAGTCCCTCCCTGTACTTGGGAAACAAGGTTAGAGGGACCTTGATTCTGAGGCAGCTTCGAAGGCCTCTCGGCATGTCAAAGCGCCAATCTTTGGGGTATTGCTTTCCGAGCCCCAACAGTACAAAGAAATATTTAGGAGACCATTGTTAGCAGAACCTGTGCACTAATTGAATATGTGGAGAGGAGAAGGGAACAGAACTGCCCAGAGGAACTGGCATTCGGTCAGCCAATCATGTGCTAGGCATTGGGGATGCAAAAATGACTGGGACCAACCTGCCTCCGGAGTTCTCTGACTAAAGAAACAGATGGGTCTACAAAATGTCAACAGAGTGTAAGAAATGTGATGACAGAAGTATACACACGCAGCACAGAAGAGGATCTTCAGCCCGGCCACAGGAAGGTTCAGGGAAGGCTCCCTAGAGGAACCAGGCCTTGAGCTGAGTCTTGAGTCATGGCTAGCGGTTCCCTCAAGCAGAAGTGCTGAGGGGCTCAGGAGCATAGACTTAGAAATCAGATAGCCATGGGTTCAAATCCTGACTCTTGTCTGCTAATCTCAGAAAAGCTATTTACACTCTTTGTTTTAAAAAAAAAGACAATAGTACCCGCCCCTAGGGTTGCTGTATTAAATCAATCTAAACGTGTATAAAGTGCTTGGCATAGTAGTTTGCACCTTCTCAGTGCTCAGTAAATGGTTATTGACATGTTAAGTATTTCCAAACTGTATTGCTCCTTCTGTAATGTCCTATGTCCATTCGTGGCCTTACTCATTCATTAAGCCAGAAATTTGAGTGACACCTTCAAGGCGTCCCATCTTTGCATTATTCCCCAGATCCAGCTTACGGCAGCTATGCTTCCTAAATGTCTCTCAAAGTCAACATCATTCTCTCTTACCTGGACCACTTTAGCAGCTCCCTCAAAGGTCTCCCTGCCATCTTGTTGCCCCCGCCAGTGCATTTCCATTCCATTGACCATAGTTTTATCTTTCAAATAAAACTATGAGGTCTCCATCTTAGCCCCCAATCACCAACTCTATATTGGTCCCTTCTGGCCATATCTCCTCCACGCCCTCTCCAGCCACCATCACCTGTCACCCTCTCCAGCCTATGCTTTCATTCCCAACACACGTGCTTCCATGGCTTTGCCCAGGCTGGTCCCTTGGCCTGAAATGAATTTCTCCCTTCTCTTCCTTGACTGCAAAATGCTAATTCATCCTGCAAGATCCAGTTCATAAGGCAGAAAGCTTTCCCAGACTACCTGTGCTATGGTTGTACCCTCCAAAACTTATGCTGAAATTTGTCATCGTAAGTATTAAGAAGCGAGACCTTTAAGAGGTTATTAGGCCATGAGGGCTGCACTCTCAAGAGTGGAATTAATGCCCTTATACAAGGGCAAGTTCAACTCCCTCTCTTGCCTGCTCAACTTCTGCCATGGGATGACACAGCAAGAAGGCCCTCAAAGGATGCCAGCACCGTGACATTGAATTTCCCAGCCCCCAGAACTGTGAGCCAATAAATACCTGTTTATTATAAGTTACCCACTCTGTGGTATTCTATTATCGCAGCACAAAACGGATTAAGACACCCTGGTTGCTGGAGGCTCTCTCCTCTCAATCCCTCGGCCCTTCTGGGAAAGCAGGCCTCCCTTTGCACCATAACTTTCTGTTTATGTGCCTGGTCATGGCCAGACTATAAGCAACTCAAGCAAAAGGACTGGATCTAATCTTCAACTTATCTATGGGGCTCAGCATAACTACCTAGGCCACAAGAACCAAAGGAGACTCATGCACACCAGCCCCAGCTGGGGAGATTTTAGACATCATGTCTGCAGCAGGATGACCACAGAGTTGCAGGTGCTGACCTGTTCCTTTGTGCCCTCTCTCATATACCTCACAATCCTGGGAAACCTGGCTGTTTCTGAGAAAAGTCATAGACCCATTAAATGCTGTATAATGTAAAGGGTTAAACTCAGACTCAGCCACTTCCTGGCTTCATGGTTTGAGGTAAGCTGTTGAAACCTCTCCAAGTCCCAGTTTCCTCATCTGTAAATGGGGGTGATAACGACACCTGTTTTACAGCATTGCTCTGAGTTCAAACCTCACCCATGTCCCAATTTTAGAGATGATAAAACAATCTTAGTGAAGTAAACTGACCCAGTTTACTTCCATCGGAGACTTTTGGACAGTCATCCAATCTAAGTCTTCCCAAACCTGGCTGCTCAGGATCTTGTGGAGCACTTGTTAAAAACTTATTGGAGGGCAGAGTCTATTCACTAAGTCTTGGACCAGGCTCAGGAGTCTGTATGAGATCAGCTCCAAGCTGATTGCTTTTGGGAATTCAGGTCCCATTAGAGCCCTCCTCACCTTCCAGCTCACATGAGTGTGTGTGTGTGAACCATCTCTTGCTTTTCAGAAGTCATCTACCAAACCAGTCTATAAATCATTCATGCCACTCTTCTGTCCAAAACCCTCCTCTGGCTCCCTACAGCCCACAAGACCCAGGCCACCCTCCTCAATGAGACCCAAACACGGATATGATCAAGTCTCTGTGCTCCCAATGTCTCTTCGTCCTCCAGGCCTTTGCACAGCTGTTCCCTGATCTTGGAACATTCTCCCCAGCCCTGGCCCTCCTTCAGCAGCTAACCCCTCATCATCTTTCTGGCACTCACTCCTGTATTTTAACTGCCTGCTTACTTCTCTATTTTTCCCATACCACCATAATAAGCTCCATTCAGGGTAGAAACTACACCTTGTTCAGGGCCATCCCTGTGGTGCCTGAAAGCGATAAATGAGTGCCACATAAACGAATGAGAAGAATTAGCGGATCCAGTGTGGCCCAGAAAGGCAGCCAATACTGAAGGCTTTTCCTCCTGCCTGGAGGTGATACACCAACCCAAAGGACTGCTCAAGGAGTGGAAAGGGGCTTTCTGGGTGGAGACTGCCAACAGCCCTCTCTGGTCTAAGAAGGCTGCAGAGCTAAAATCTCATGATTTGGCATTTGACCTCGGACAGGTCGTGTAACCTGCCCTGAGCTTCGGCTTTCTCATCTGTTGTAAGGACCAGCCACATTCATGTAAAGCACTCACCCCTTGCCTGACCCACACTGACCACTCAATAAAGCCATCGACACTAGGTTCTGGTTGCCATTTGGCTTCCCAGGAGAGCTTGGTTATTTGTACTTCCTGCTCCCCCACAGCAGCCCCCACCAAGGTGCCCACCCATAGGAGGCATCAGAAAATGTGGCAGGCCTGAAGTTTTTCTGCTGATCAGGAATGACTGGAGCAGAAGGAACAGTGTGCCCCTAGGGGAAGGGAAACCTGTATTTGTCAATGCCTAACAATAACCACACTCCCAGTTTATTGAGCACATGCAGTGTGCTGGGCGAGCTCCAGGCTTCCCTCTCTGGGGGACCCCTGGGGACTGGGAGGCAGAATGGAAAACACTGAAACAGGGAGAGCAGGAAGATGGACATCCTCCCCCTCTTCACCCCACCTGGGCCCTTGCAGGAGGGTTCAGGTTCTTACTGTGGGCACCAGGGGCCGAATCTCCTTTCCACCAGCTAGCCCATCCCTGGGAGGAGCCCAGGCAACCCCTGCTGTCTCCAAACCAAGAGAGTGGGCTCCCGGGCCCTTCTTCCTTCACCCCCGTCCTCCCACACACGGGACGGAGGTGGCCTCTTCTGGAGAGAGCAGCTGGCTCAAGTGCAGTTCTGCCGTTTTATTTTTCCTGGGATACTCAAGGGGATGTGGGAACAGCCACAGGTGTGGTGAGGGGAAGCCCCCATCTCCCCTCCCCAGCCGCTGGGAAAGGGGAGAGGCCCAGGCGCCCTGGTCCTGGGTTGGTCCAGCCACTGTGGTCCCTGGGCCCGGTGGGCTGAGGGCTGAGGATGGAGCCCCTGGGAGGTGGGGCAGGCTCCTAGGCGGGGTTCGGGATTCTTCATAAAAAGCCACGAAGCTTGATCCCCACGAAGCCCAGCCCCGCGGGGTGGGGGGGAACGCAGAGCCCAGATGGGGGACCCGGCCCCGCCTGGCCCGTGGGGGGAAAGAATGGCAGAGATGGTGCCCATGGGGAGGAGGTGGGGACAAAGCGTCGGACCAGGTGGGCGGGGGATCCAGGTGAAGGGCGCAGGGCGGAGAGGCACGGCCCCCTGCCCAGCCCGGGCGCCTTCGCGTGGGGTCAGGAAGCTAAAAAACCCACGAGAGTGTGACGGGCCCGGGGGCCGGGGCGTGCGGTGCCGGTGGGGCGGGCGCTCGGGGCGGCCCGCGTTCACAGTGACCTCGACGCTGGGTGTACAGTACGGGTGGAGAACCGCGGGCCCGGGCCGGGCTGGGCGGGCCGGACCGGTCACAGCCTGGTCTGGGCCTCGGGGATGTAGATCTCGATGCTGTCGGCACTCTCGGTGGCCGAGCTGTGGCGGAAGGAAGCGGCGCGCTTGGCCGCCAGGAGCCGCTTGCGCGCTTCCTGCCGCTGCCTGTCCACGGAGTCCAGGGAGCGCTCCTTCACCGGCACGCCCCGGCCCCGCAGGGGCTTCTTTGGTATCGGCGGAGGGACCTTCTTCTCCTCCTGCGGGGCAGAGGGCGGCGCTGAGCGGGGGCGCCTTACCACCCCACACCCCGGTGCCCGCCCCCGCGGTCCCCCGCACCCGGAGCGCTGATGACCGCGGGGCTCCGAACGCGATGGCGCTCAGCCTCGGATCCCGTGACCCGAAGCCCCACGTGCGCCTGTTCCGACAAGGTCAAATCCCCACGTTTTCCACCAAAGCGCGGCGCGTTCGAGCGCCCCCTGGTGGCGCTGTTCTCAACAGCTCGCATCAAAGCTGGGTTTTCACTCCAGGTCCCGAGAAGGGCGTTCCCCAACCCAGGCTACGCCCCGAGGGTGCACTTTCCAGGTCTCTGGGCCATATCGCAGACAAAGTCCAGCGACCTGGCGGCTGAGGGGACCCTCAAGGTTCTGCCCTCGATGCCTAGGCCCGAACTGAGGACAGTCTGTCCTTCTGTAAAGTCTACTTTTGCTCTCTCCAGCTGCAGTCGTGCCCCGGCTGAGGAAGCCTTGGGGTTCAGCACAAGCAGTGATGAGCACTGGGGCCAAGCAAGTGGCAGTGGCCACGAGCGTGGTCACTCTGGAAGGGGATGGTCACCTATCACCTGTCCAAGCTGCCCTTGCTGCCATGGGTCCCTTCCCCTGCCCCCTTGTTCGCCCCACCCTCCACCTCTCTGGGGAGGGGAATTTCCCAGAGTCTGGACTCTTTGCCTAAAGGGACCCCAGCCCCACCTTAGGCTCCAGGAGCTTCCAGCTGTTGGCCTTGAGTTGCTGTAGCTCCAGGAACTTGAGGGTCACATCCTCGATGGAGAGCTGTAGGAGGTCCCAGAAACCCGCCAGGTCCTGGAAGGTGGGCACAGGGAACGCAGTGGGATCCTGCAGCAGAGGGAGATGGAGGGAAAGTGGTCGGTCAGGGAGGTCTGAGCCCCAGCCAGGACAAGAGAAAGCCCTATCCACCCTTACTGCCAGGAAGCTCAGCCTGGGAGAGTGGGTGGGGGCTGGGGGACAGGGGGACAAGAAAGAGCCCAGGCCTCCCCGTCTTGTGCACAAACACCTGGTCCTACCTCCAGGCACAAGACTCACAGCCAGCCCTGCAGGCATGGACACACCTCCGGCACACACACACACACACACACACACACACACACACACACTCTGGGTCACACATATCTGGTAGGATCTACTACTACAGGTGCTCACCATGCTTTGCTGACAGAGCCGGAAGAACTGCTGAACCTTCTGGGACAGGAGAAGTTGTGTGCTGCCCACAGCGCTGCGGATCTTCTCCAGGACTAGAAAGCAGAGGGAAATTCAGGAAGGGAAATGATGCCTCTCCTTCCCCAGCCTCCAGGAACTCTGCCCTGAATGATGCTGACCCCTCAGTTGTTTGGCACTGTCTATCCATCAGTCTCCTCCAGCCCCGGCCCCATCCCATCCTCAAGTTCCTAACCAGTTCTTATTCTACTACACCTGGATAGAGCACGGAGACTGTATCCTCAGACACTGACGTTCCCTCCTTTATACAACCTACATTTCTTGAGTGCTCATCCTCCTTTATCCTTTCTCTCTCCGGTGTCAGAGAACAGAAGGAGACCAGCCCCAGCCTAGCGCTATGGCCCTGGCCAGGGCTTTAGCTCACTGACTACCCATTGGCTGGGCTTTGTTCCTCACTCACCAGTGCATGCATGAGTCCTGCGCCCTTTAAGAATGACCAAGTAATTTCATGTCTGTAACACATCTTCCTAGTCACTCTCCCCTCAACTTGGATATTCTGAGGTAAGACTGTGTCTCCCAGTAGATACGACTTATAGGAAGGGCCATGCTCTCCCTCAGGCCAGGACCATGTCTCCCTGGCTGAATCTCCTCATCTATGCCTCAGACAGGACCTGACATTGTGAACTGCCTCCCTCTCTGTAATCCTGGTCCCACCACCCAGACCCCCACACCAGTCCAGATCTGAACGGAGTTCCCTTAGTCCCCATAAACTTGGTGATCTGGACCAGCAGCCATCCCTAGAAGGCCCAGCCCTTTGGCCTGCAGGGTCCACAGCCCAGCCCTGGCCTCTAAAGCTGCACTGTGTGCACCATGCTCCCTTCCAAGAGCTCCCAGCATGTCCTGCTGCCAGTGTTGACCCCCACACTCCAGTGCAGAGGACCTGTGAGGCACCAGCCGAAGGGACCTCCTGTTACACTGCAGCCCCCGTCACCCCATCAGGGTCTCCTGAGCTGTGACTCACTCTCCTCGGGTAGCTCATAGTCCTCCGCCTCACGCTCCATCTGCTGGCACCAGTGCTCCAGCTTCTCCACTTCTGCCCGCAGCATCTTGATGAACCACTCGCCGTCCCGTGGGCAGGGGGACGCACGGCCTGAGTCAGGGAGGCTACGGGAACCACGCTCTATCCAGGAGTCACGGCGGCCAGCCCCAGGGCCAGGGGTGGGGGCAGGGGCAGGGCCAGGTGACCCATCAGTGGCCGGCGGCTCATACGGCAGTGGGTAGCCCTCACGGTAGGCCCACTGGCCCTGCGTGTGGACTGTGCGGAAGACTGAGTAGGTGGGGGCCCGGGGCCCAGGCTGGGGCTCAGAGGCATGCCTCTGGAAGGAGCGTCCAAACTGCAGGGCCTTGTCTTCTGTGGCCACCGTGGCCAGGCCAGCCAGGCCCTCCAGCTCCAGGTCTGCCTGCACGCCAGCCGTCACGCTGTTGGAGCGCTTGAACCTTGCTCGCCTGGGGAGAGGGGTGCCTGTCATTCCCCATTGCCCAGGCTCATGCCAGCTCTCTCTCATCCCCATCCCAAGTAAAAAAAAAAGGAAGGGAATGAGAAAGGGAACCTACAAAGTGATAGACTTTATACACTTTAAATATATTGGTCCTTGCAACAGCTAGGTACATAATATACCTACCTATTGCACTGCCTCTAGACAGGGGTGATATTCAAACTATTTAGTAACCAGTTCTGTCCATGGACAGAGCAGATGCTGCCATACACCAGGCAGAGGAGACACAGACCAAAATGCTGCAGCAGTGCCCTGCAGGGGCTAGACTGTGGAGTGGGCTAGAGGGGCCAGGGAGGAGCCAGGGTGGTGACTCTTTACCAGCGAAGGCAGAAGTATTTCAACATTTTAACAAATGCTATGTCTATGCTAGTTTACACCAGCTGCACTAGAGTGTCCTCAGCCCTACCTAGAGATGAATAAACTAAGTCAACGCAGCTTCTAAGTAGCAGAGCCAGGATTTGGACTCAGGCCTGCTGGGCTCCATAGTCCAAGCACTTGGCACTGCACCAGCTGCTAGAACGTCACAGGAAGAAATGCCTTGGAGCAGCTGGGGGTGGAGTGGGCCAGCAGCTGGGAGGACTTCTCTAGGGACCCTGATGGCTCAGCCCAGAGCCTGGCCAGACACAGTCAGCCAGGGCCAGTGGAGCTGAATTAAGTTGTTTGCAGGAATGACATAGGGCCTGGAAATTTCTTGTCTTTGAGTTAATAATATGCAAATCTTATGCAAACCAGAAGGTCAACTGGCCTCGTTCGTTTTTTTCCTGAGTTCAGAGTTCTTTTCTATGAAGAAGTCAGTGACCCCTGAAGATGCATGCGGTTGAGACCAGGCAATACTTTTAAGAAGTGGGAGTCAGGAGATGTGGGAGATAAGGGGATAAACAGAAGATCAAGGTTTGGAAATTCAAGGACCACAAAAGAAAAACCTGTGTGTCCTGAGCTACTTCCACCCCTACATGGTCAGAAGGGATTGTGGGGCCAGCTCAAGGAGTCCCTACAGCTCCCCAAGAGACTTTCCCAACCCCCGCAACTTCAGCCTTTCTCTTGCTGCCCAGGCCTTCTCTCCTTGCCTGCCTACTTCTCTCCAGCTGGCAGGCTGCCTGCTGGGAGCCTGTTGCCATAGAAACCAGGCCCAGAAGGATGCTGCAGGACCCAGGAAGAAGAGATGCACTCATGTGCAGTCTCCAGCGAGCCCTATGTCCCAACCCCCACCCAGAGAGGGAAAAGGAGAGAGAACATATCCTCACTGCCTCCCACACAGTCTTCCCCTCCGTGTCTGCCCTGTCCTGCCCTGGGCAGGGCTTGCATCACCATCTGCCTTGACAATTAGACTGGCCCCCTTTCAGTTACATCTGCCTCCACTCGGTACCCTGCCAAGGAGGAGCACGGGACCAGGAGTTAGCTCCGAGTTCTAATGCTGGCTTTGTCACTGTGTGCCTTTGTCACTCACCCTCCATCTAGGACATCCAATGTGTATAGTGTATGTACTTAAAATATATATATTAGATATAAATATACACATACATATACATCTAAAAATACACACATATATACAATTATAGAAATAGATTGGTAATTGCCAAGGTAGCTCCTCTCTCTAAAATTATGTTTTGCATATTTTAAGATCTGGGGCCCTTCCCAGTCCACCCAAGACTGGAATAGTCTTCCTAAAGCTGAGCTCTGCCAAGTCATTCCCCTGCTCAAAACCCTTCAACAGCCCCCTATTGCCAACAAAACAAAGTTCAGACTTCCTGTGCCAGCATTATCTGAGGCCCTGACACCCTGGACACAGTCCTCCTCTTCAACCTCATCTCCCCCACATGCTCCTGTTCCCCGAATGGACTCTAAGTGATCCTGACTTTAAGCCTTTGCACCCGCTACTCCCCTGCCTTCATCCTCCTAGCTCCTTGTCCATTCCCTGCTTAAAATCCGGCTTCACCTATTTCACTCCCCCTGCCCCCAAGACCACTCCTGAGTACCACACTTCCCTCGGCAGCCCTCCTGGCTTCAGAGGCATTCCTGCCATTCGGGCAGGCTGTTCTCTTTCTGGTGAGAGTCTTGTGTGTCTAACTGTACTCTTAGGATGCACCCTGACTTGCTTTGAATGTTTTTGTGCCTTTGTGCACTGGTTAGCCTGTGGCTCCTTCAGAGCTTCAGCCGTTGCAAACTGCAAAGATAAAGGAGGGGTTTGCTCCAATAAACACGTGCCTGAAGATCTGCCACGCCTGCGTGCTTTCCTGTCACCCCTGCTAAACACAGTTCTGTCCTTTGGCACTGCCGTGTCTGCTGCCTTCCACCTGTCCTCCAAGATGTCCTGAGAGGATCACATTCCATCGAGATGGAAACAGCCACACAGCCGGGAACAAAAGCACCAAGTGCCCCAGCCTTCATGCTTCGAAAGTCACTGCCTCAGTGAGCTCTCTCACATGTCTGCCTCAAAGGAGACTGAGGAAGTGGAGGAGCCGATGGGATGACCGGAAGCACGGTCCTCACCAACGCTCCCAGCCAGCAGCCAGAGATGTGTACAGCATACGCAGGAGTCGCTCATCCCTGGGCAAGTGGCATTTAAAACCAGCAGTGTGGGACAAGCTCACCCAAGAAAAGAACAACGGATCCAAGATCCAAACCCCAGGGAGCATGGACATTTCAGGGTTAGGTGGAGATGGTGCCGCTCATAGACGAGTCTAAGCCAGAAAGGAAGAGGGAGAAAACCAGCAGAAAGTGACATAAAAGCAGTGAGGGGACAGACAGGTGTCATGAACGAATGGGCAGCTAACATGGAAAACACAGCCAGTTAAGAATGAAAGGTGCCCACGGATTTGGCAATATGGAAGCCACGAGTGATCCAAGCAAGAGTGGGTTTGGTGGAATGTGGGGGCAGATGCCAACTGCAGCAGGTTGTCGGGAGGTGGAGGAAACTAGTCAAGGCAACTCCCGAAGAGCCTGGCTGAGAAGGGAGGAAGACAGAGAGAATGTTCTGTTCGAGAGGGATATTTTGTTTCGGGTGCTTCTCGCATGCTGTATCCCAAGAGGAAAGAACCTGTAGGCAGAATCATGGCCACCAAAGAGGTCCACATCCTAATCCCTGAACCCGTGAATCTGTTACCTTCCATGGCAAAAAGGGCATTGCCGATGTGATGAAGTTAAGGATACTAAGAAGAAGAGACTCTCCTGGATTATTCTGGTGTAAACACATTTTATAAATGAAAGAGGGAGGTGGGAGAGTCAGAGAAGAAGATGGAACGACAGAATCAAGGCTGGAATAATGCAACACGGGGACTCAACCCACCACTGCTGGCTTTGAAGACAGAAGCAGGCTGCAGGCAAAGGAATGCAGACAGCCTCTATTAACTGGAAACTGACTAAATGGATTCTTCCCAGAGCCTTCCAGAGCCCAGTTTGAAACCCCATTGAGACTCTGACCCCAGATAATAAGTATGTATTGTTTTCCATCACTGAATTTATGATAATTTGTTTCAGCAGGAATAGGAAATTAATGCAACCTGTAAAGAGAAACTGAATGAAGAGAGAGAAGAGAGAGGCAATAATACAAGGAACCAGATATAAGGGGGATAAAAAAGAATAACATCTTCTGAGCACTTAGTATGTGCCAGGAAAGCACTTTCCATGAATAAACACTCAATCCTCACGAACAGTTCCACTGTATGGGTGTTAGTATCAGTCCTACTCGTAGATGAAAAAACCGAGGCTTAGGGAGGTTGACCCCTAAGATGAAGGCAGGACTGGTGGAGGGGACAAGGGAAAGAGATCTAAGTAAGCTGGGGGTTGGCCTGGAAGTGGACAGAAGTCCCACCAGTTGACCCCAGTCATCACAGTGAAGTGGGTGATGGCGGTGGCTGTCTGCTGGGGATGTCTGGGGAGCAGGGAAAGGAATGAGAATGAGCAGCTTTAGGGGAGGCAGCAGAACAGAGCGGTTAAACCCGTGTGCTCTGGAGCCTTGCCCAGGTCCAAAACCCGGCTCCGTGGCTTGTGCCTCATTTCCCCATCTGTAAATGAGAATGATAATAGTAGCAGTTCATAAGACTGTTGTGAGATAATATCCATAAAGAACTCAGAACAGCACCCTGCCTGCCCATTGTGTTAGCTATTCTAGAGAAGCAAAATGGTTTGCAGCTCTCACTGAAAAGAAAGGGAGCTGGACAAACACATTCATCGGAATGTAGCACTGAGAACCCAGCTAGGGCATTGTAGTTATTAATTATTATGATTGCTGTTGATCATTTCCATCTGTTCTCCCACAGCACTTTGAACAAAACCTCTTTTCTACTCCATATCACATTGTATCATGGCTGGTTATTTGCATAACTGTCTCCTCACTAAATAGGGCAGTTCATCACACATGAACGTTGGTTGGTTGGAAGGAAGGAAGGAAGGATGGTAGAAAGCAGTAACTATCTTCCAGCATCCACTCTCCATTTCCCCCTTAGTAACAGAACCCCACCATTTTATGCTGGATATATGGCTACTTTGAATAAAGATTTGGCCGGGCGCAGTGGCTCATGCCCGTAATCCCAGCAGTTTGGGAGGCCCAGATGGGTTGATCACCTGAGGTCAGGAGTTCAAGACCAGTCTGGCCAACATGGTGAAACCCTGTCTCTACTAAAAATACAAAAATCAGCTGGGTGTGGTGGCACATGCCTGTAATCCCAGCTACTCAGGAGGCTGAGGCAGGAGAGTCAGCTTGAACCTGGGAGGCAGGGGTTGCAGTGAGCTGAAATAGCGCCACTGTACTCCAGCCTGGGCAAAAGAGCGAGACTCCATCGCAAAGAAAAAAACAAAAAAAAAGATTCTTTCCCAATCTCCCTACCAAGTAGATGTAGCCATGTGACTAAGTTCCAGTCCATGAGATACAAGAAGTCATGGCATGTGCAACTTCCAAAAACGTGTCCTTAAAAGGAAGGGGTATGCCCTTCCTTGCCTCTTCCTCCTCCT